AAGCAGCAGGCATAACCAAAACCCCAAAACCCCAAAACCCCAAAACCCCACGAGATTCAGGACTAAGAAATAGGTATGATATGGACCGTGAATTCTTAATTAAAATAAGATAAATAAAGCCACAAACTAAATTATTATTATTTATTAATAAAGCTATGTTAAAGTCAGTCCTCAATAAGCAGACCACCCTCGTTGGGAAAAATCTCATTCATCAAGCTCAAAGACAATTCGCGTATGTATAAAGACTATATAATTATGATGTAGCGTTATCGGTATTGATTTGGGAACAACCAACTCTTGCGTTGCCATTATGGAAGGAAACAATCCAAAGGTTATTGAAAATGCAGAAGGTAAGAAATTTCCATTTGATCCTAACATTCCAAATTAGGTCAGAGAACTACTCCATCAACTGTAGCCTTCACTGAAGACGGTCAAAGACTCGTCGGTGTCCCAGCAAAGAGACAAGCTGTTACTAACCCAGAGAACACAGTCTTTGCTTCAAAAAGACTCATTGGTAGAAGATTCGAAGACCCCAACACTCAAAAAGATCTTAAGCATCTTCCATATAAGGTAGTCAGGGCAGGCAACGGTGATGCCTGGATTGAGGCCAGAGGTCAACAATACTCACCATCATAAATCGGTGCTTTCGTTTTAATGAAGATGAAGGAGACTGCTGAAGCTTATCTTGGTAAGTCAGTGAAAGAAGCTGTCGTTACCGTACCAGCTTATTTCAATGATTCACAAAGACAAGCAACTAAAGATGCTGGTAAGATCGCAAATCTTGAGGTAAAGAGAATTATTAACGAGCCAACCGCTGCTGCTCTTGCCTTTGGTTTAGATAAGACTGATGGAAAAGTTATTGCAGTATACGATTTAGGTGGTGGCACCTTTGATATCTCACTTCTCGAAATTTCTGGAGGTGTTTTCGAAGTAAAAGCAACCAATGGAGATACCTCACTAGGAGGAGAAGATTTTGATCTTTCTGTATAAAACTTCCTCATTGGAGAGTTCAAGAAACAATACAATATGGATATCTCAAAGGATAAATTAGCATTACAAAGAATTAGAGAAGCCGCTGAGAAGGCAAAGATCGAACTTTCATCAACAGCTCAAACTGAAGTCAACCTTCCTTATCTCTCAGCTGATGCTACTGGACCCAAGCATTTGCAAGTCACAATTACCAGAGCAAAGCTCGAATAATTAGTAGACTCACTTATCTCAAGAACTATTAAGCCACTCGAATCATGTCTTAAGGATTCAGGTTTAACCAAAGATAAAATTGACGAGGTTCTATTGGTTGGAGGTATGACCAGAATGCCAAAGGTTCAAGAGACTGTTAAGGCTTTCTTCCAAAAATCACCAAACAGAGGAGTCAATCCAGATGAGGCCGTTGCTATTGGTGCTGCAATTCAAGGTGCCGTTTTAACTGGTGAGGTTAAGGATATTCTCTTATTGGATGTTACCCCACTTTCCCTCGGTCTTGAGACTCTTGGAGGTGTCATGACTAAATTGATTCAAAGAAATACAACCATCCCAACCAAGAAGTCCCAAGTTTTCTCTACTGCTGCTGATAATCAAACCAAGGTCTCAATCAAGGTTTACCAAGGAGAGAGAGAAATGGCTGCTGATAACAAATATCTAGGAGAATTCGAGCTCGGAGGTATTCCAATGGCACCAAGAGGTCACCCATAAATTGAAGTCTCATTTGATATCGATGCCAACGGTATCATGAATGTCTCAGCCAAGGATAAGAGTACCGGAAAGGCTCAATCAATTACCATTAGATCAAGTGGTGGTCTTTCAGACTCAGATATTGACAGAATGGTTAAGGAAGCTGAAAACCTAAGAGAATCAGATAAAAAGAAGAGAGAAGTTATTGATCTTAAAAACGAGTCAGATACTATGATCTATAACACAGACAAGCAACTACAAGAACACTCTGCTAGAATTCCAGATTCAGTTAAAGAACAAGTTAGAGGAGATATAACCTCACTCAATGAAGCAATCACCACTGATGATTCTAACAAAATTAGAGAAGCCCTTGAGAGACTCAAGAACTCTTCAATGGAGATCGGAAAGGCAATCTATGCCAACGTTGACAGCAACCAACAACAAGAATAGCAATAGCAAGAATAACAACAACAAACTACTGAAGAAAATAAAGATTAGAAATAATGAGCAATTATTACTTGAATAAGATATATTTATCTAATTTATCAATTCTTATCTTTTCAAACACGCATAATATTTTTACACTTTGGGGTTTTGGGGTTTTGGGGTTTTGGGG